GGGGGCTGGAGAGATGGCTCAGTGGTTAAGAGTACCGACTGCTCTTCCAGAGGTCCTGAGTTCAATTCCCAGCAACCACATGGTGGCTCACTACCATCTGTAATGAGATCTGGTGCCCTCTTCTGTACACATAATAAATAAATAAATCTAAAAAAAAAATTGTCTTGGGCTTTTAGAGATCACAAGCAGAAAGTTTAAAAAGCCCCCTCTCGATCTCCATAGGCCCAAGACAAAGGGCTAGTGTCTGTCCCACAGCTCTGAGTATTATAGCTGGGTCAGTGACTATTGTCTGGCTAAGAACTGTGAACATCTTCCCCATGCATTTGGAAGAATGTTGTGCTGAACTCTTGTTGGAGTTCAGCTCCAGGTCGAATTGTGAGGATGTACTCACCAAGGCTCCAGTGATGGCTACATAAGACAGATGCACACAGGGAAATAAAGTTGTCGGCATAAAGATACCAGGCAGACTGGCTTGCCGAGAAATTAATATTTGGGTGGGGATCATGTTAACAGAGGTTGGGCTGACTTGTGGGTGGAGAATCTGTTGAAGACTGCAGTTAGCTGTGGAGCTGGTTTTCTGCTGTGGGTAGCCAGCCTCCCCAAACCACATCCCTGTTCTCACTTTACTGTGGGTTACTGGGCTCAGCAGGTGGCTCTTCTCCACAAGATAAGGTCAGGATGTGTGGGGGCCTTGGCCTGTCTGCGTGGTCTCTGCAGCAGAGTAGCTAGAATTATAACACAGCTCCGCTGGGCTCCAGAGGGCATAGAAAGCTGTCAGGCTTTGGGGCACATTACCATTTCCCCTGCATCCTGGTGCTCTTAAAGAAGGATGTGAACCCCACAGATAGGTTCACTGGACACCTATTGTTAAAATTCCTTCGGTGGGGGGGAGATGTAAGCAATGCTACCCCCTACGCCTGAGCTCTCAACAACATACTGAGTAATGATTACACTCAAGTTCATTCTAGGGAACCAGTGAATTTACTGGTCTCCTTTGAGAGCATAGGTAACAGGCTATTTAGTGGCATGTAAGGGTTTTCCCTCTGCAAAAGGCCACACCAGAAAGTCTGTCTAGCAGGAGGATAGCTTTCCCATAGCTGCACTGATAGAACACTCTCTATCTTCACGTTGGCAAACTCGAGTTCCTCGCCGAGGCCACATGCAGTTTAGGGCAGAATTGTATATAACAGGCAGCATTAGAGTGGCTGGACATTCAGGTGAGGGTCCCATGGCCCTCCCAGTTCCTCCTCCTATGAGGGACTCTAAACAGTCAGCAAGCCCAGCTGGGATGAGTTTTGCAAGTAGGCACAGCTAAACTCGCAAAGACTGTAGTTGTTTGGCAAGGGTAGCCATGTACAACAGTGGCTGTGGTGGTAGTCTGTGGATGTAAACACACATTCCTGGAAGATACCTTGGTGGGTGCATCATATCTACCCAGCAGAACAATCCAGACACATAGTGTCCCTGTTCGTTTGTATTGCCACAGGGACCCATTCCTGCTTGGAGCCCCTGGGAATGCCATCAATGTACCAGGCTTCAGCAGGTCAGGTCAGCTCGGTCCTAGCTTGATTCTCCCTCTCCTGCCCTCACGGCCTGAAGTGTCTTCAGCAATAGGGTCTTATCAGCAGTGGCAATAGACTTTATCATTTTGGGGACCTCTGGTCTTGGGATTCGGCAGCTATAGGATTACGAAAACTGTTATCAAGGCCCACTGCTGTGGGGAGACCCCACTACTTGCAGCAGCTGTTCAGCCAGCAGAGCAAGGCCAGGCACAGCTGCAGGGATGGGAGGTGCTACCTCATCTAACTCCTTGTCATCCACCGTCACTCTCCAGGAGCTATATCTAGCCTTTTTATTGGCTAGATATAGCTGGAGATATACCGGCTGTTGAAAGGGCTCTGGGCTAGGCAGATGCTCTCTACCCTGTCTAGCTGCTGGGTGGTTTCTTTAGTTTCATCCTGGCCCTTGGGAAGCCTAGACTGTTTGGTATTCACCACTGTTTGGGCCATGGGTAACTGTACAGGTTTCCACCTCACCCTCCCCTGCATTTACCATTTCAACCCTCAGCCAGAACTCCAGACAGCAATCTGCAGGGTGTGTCCTACATAGT